GGTGTGTCAGCCACATATTTTCAAACCTGAATGGTCTAGGTCCATTACCAAGAGGTTCTTGTCCTACTTCTTCAGACAAGCTTTCTTCTTCAGATTCTCCACAATTAATCCAGTGCCCATCCACGTCTTCTTCCCTCTAATCTTCTTTGGATTTTATATGCCAAGATCAGGTTTGTCTTGTAAGGATGAGGAATGTTTAACCCACCATAACTGTGAAAAATTCGCCCCTTGCCAGCTATTAGAGGTCAATGGGATGATGCTTGACCATCCTTACTGTCTTCCATCGACCCACCCTCTCTCCCACATGTGATACTTAAGTTACCACGTGAGGGAAGCCTAGAATATGATCCAATCGGATAGTCCGATCCCAATTCAATAGTTTTCTCACCCCCTTTTCCCCCCTTCTCAGCACCTCGACATATGAAAGTCCTCCACTCATCTCAATCGTCCGTTTAAATTCAAAAACTTTTGAAAATCCAGCCTTAAATGGTAAAACAGAGCCAAATGGGGCCCTATAAAGCCTCTCTCTCCTTCTATTCCATGTGACATCCATCCGTACATGTCAGCACCATCTTCTTCCTTTCTCCCTTTCCCCCAAAGTGTCATTTCAGCTTCCGATGCTAACCAAACCTTCCTCCACCTCCCATCGGAGAACATCTCAATCAATCTTGTAAGCCTCTCTGGTTTGGAAGACCCAATCTTGATTTTCACCACTTGAAGATCTGAAATGTTCACCGCTACAAAAGAACCACAACAAATTGCAGCCACTTGAGAAAATATTTCCTCTATCTACAGATTGAAGGGAAGCCCAACAACTTTTACTTGAAGGATTTCTTCCTCTAACTTCACATCATGGCAAGAAGGATTCCAGTTCTCTATCATCACCATCCCCTCACGGATATTTACTCTGGAAATTTTCTCATGGCGGCAACCCAGGTCAAGTATGGTCACTTTCTCTTCGAACAGAACAAGCGTTGCCTTCTCAATTAACGAGAGAACTGCCATAACATCTTGTAAAACTCCATCCCAATCTTCAACCTTCTTAGCCAATCTAACCAGCTCCTCTTTCACCATCCCTCCAGACTTCCATTAATCACCAATTTCAAGCAAAAGGAAGTTGCACACATTCCTTTAATTTCCTCCGCCTTCTCCACCCCACTGTGTGTTTTAGATGCTTGTCTA